CCAGACCTGTGGATCTTCTTTCAAAATGCTGCTGCTCTGTGCTGCCAGACAGAGAGGCAAGGGACTGATCCTGCCAGATGGCTCATGGAGTGCCTGAGTGCCTAAAACCTCAGGGATCTTGTGGGTAACAGTTCTCCTCCCAGCCATAATGAAGAGTGTGTTCACTTCACTGGAGAGTGCTGGGAAATTAGTTTCCTTGTAACAATGCTGCTGCAGGGCCTGAGCCCTTGAGGAGGTGACACTGGTGCTTCCCACCACGAGCTCCATGGACCAGACAGTCTCACACACTGCTTAGGAAATAACAAAGTTCAGAGACACAAAGTTCTTTCATGTCCCAGCTACTGCACTGATCTTCTTCCTGCCATGAGATCAGATGATATGAATGTGATATGATTCCTTCTGATGCAGGAGCCCTATGATATAGATTGATTTATGTGAAATCTTTTGGTGAGTCCCAGATTTTCAACCTCAAATTCTGGGTGAGAAGCTGAGCCCAGCTCCTGCACTTTCAGGGATTTTTCTTCACAGGGAAGTTGTCCTGAAGCTGGTGACCCCATTTTCCTCCAGGAAAAGCCTCACAATCTGTGAGCAATCAGAGCAATCCCACCTGGGACATACAGCCTATCTGTGGGTGGGAGCAAAGGTCCAAAGTGTCCCCCAGTGCCCAGAAGTGGCTCTGTCATTGTCAGCAGCACTGCTGAGGGGTGACACATTGGCTGGGGGAGAAGCACCAGGGACAAAAATGACAGGAGAGGGTGTGCTAGGACAGTGTGTCATCCAGATCACAGTGCCCACCCTCCTGCAGCTTCTCAGACACCAGGATGGGCACAGACACAGGACACAGGACTCCAGGATGGGCCCAGACACAGGACAAGAAGTTGATGTTCCCCAGAGAGTGACAGGACAGCGAGACAGGTCCCTGCCAGCTCCTGGCCAGCACAGAAGGGAACATGCAAACCCAGCACGATTTTCTCACCTAAAAAAAGCCCAGCAGGCATGAGGAGGACTTGACAGCTGTCATCCTCTGCATTATTCCAGGGAATCCTGGAAAGATGGGCTGAACACATGGTGTCCTGGTGCTTGCAAGCTGGGTGGGCTGCTCACACATCCCCACCCTCGTGTGTGTGGGAGTGCCACTGAAACCTCTCTGGGTTTGCTTTTGCTTTAAAGTCCAAGAATCTCCTTTCCTGGGAGGTCTCACATTGGAATGTCCTTGGTCCAGAGGCACATCCCAGCTGAGCTCCTCCCCAGCCCCCTCCCTGCACAGGCAGAGTGAGTTTGTTGGACAAACAAACATAAACAGGATGGAGACCAAAACATGAGAGGAGTCTGGTGATTGATGAGAGTGCAGATCCTCAGGTACAGGCCATCCAGGTGGAACTCTCTGAGTGAACCAAGTCCTGACTCTTCTGAAGGAGAGATTTTTCATAGAAGCCGAGTTAGGCCAGACAGATCCCTGGGGCAGAGGACACAGGCTGGAGGGGAGTAAGCAGACAGAAAAGATGACAGCAGAGAAGATTGGAAAAGAGAAAAATACCCTGGAGATCTTCCTCCCTGTCACCTGGAATGACTGAGGTCCCCTCAAGAGAAGGAGCTCTCTGCTTTGCAGGAAGGAGGCTGTAAGAGGTTGTGAGTGGAAGTGGTGCCAAGTGACTGCCTCATGAATCTCATGTTGAGAGAGGAGCAGTGGGAGATCGCTTCACCATCAGCACAGAACAGAAAGACTCTGTCTCCTGAATTAATAACCTGAAGCAACTGTTCTGCTTCAGGTAGCCACAGGAAAATCCAAAATTCATACACAGGATGGATTTTCTGGGTGTTATTATTTCAGATGAAATTCAAAATCAGAGAAGCAGGACAGGACATAGAACTATGCAAACACCGCATGTGGGACTTGCCTTTCCCCACATTAGATGCACTAAACAAAGGCTCAGAGCAAGTATTCAGTAACACCATGGAATATGACAAGAGAGTTCCTTGGTAGATATGAACAGGGCCCCAAAAAAGCAGTAATTGAATATGCCTCCCACAGCAAACTCACCCAGCCTTTGTGTCTCATCAGAAAAAGGATTTACAGGAGAGCAAAACTCACGTCTGATTGAGCTTTTCATCATTTCCTTGAAAGGTTATCCTGCTGGCAAAGCCACTCTTATCCCAGCCCTTTGGAAGGGAAGGCAAAGCACTCCCTGAGACACCAGCCACACAGCCAGGTGTTCCTCCCTGCTGCTCCTTTCTCCTTCCTTAGGAGAATAAAGGACACCAGCTGGCCCCAGGCCCTCCAGGCTCAGCTCCCAGAGCCCTCCTGTCCCTCTGAGAGTGTCCCCTTGCAATGGACACACAAACCCAGGTGCTCCCACAGGGACATGTGCACATCCCCAAACCCCTGCTCCTTCCAAAATCACTGCACTGGTGCCTGCAGCACCAGCTTCAGGCCCTGGGCCAGAGGCGGGCAGCAGGTAGGGTGTGCATATATGGAGCTGAGTACATCACCTGAACCCCCAGAGCCATCAACCAAACCCCAAAACCATCAGCCAAACCCCAAAACCATCAGCCAAACCCCCAGACCCCTCCTGCAGGGCTGCACTCCAGCTCCTTATTCCCCTCTCTGTAGGTACATCCAGGATTACCCTGGCCCAGGAGCAGAACCCAGCATTTGTCCTTGTTAGGTGTCATCTGGTTGGTGACACACTCAAATCTACCAAGATCTCTCTCTAAGGACTTTCCATTCTCAAGGGACTCAGGGTCTCCTCCTGATTTAGGATCACCAGAAGCAAAATTCCTTAAGAGTGTCCAGGTCATTGATAAAAACATCCAAGAGAATTGGGCCTACACCTGAGCACAGCAGCCTCGCATCACCCATGGACTGCAGTTCTTTGAGCCCAGGGAAGCAGAGCTGGAGCCACACCTCAGTGGTGAGCTGCAGACAGTGTTCAGCACTGCCCTGGTGTGCACAGAGCACCAGGGGGGTTCACAAGGCTTGGCTCAGGGCAGTAATCACCTGGGCAGGTGTGTTGTACATTAATATTTCATGTGTGGGCTGAATGAATTAGAGCTCATTAGTTAGGGCTCTCTGCTGCCTCAGTCTGTGGGTCAGGTTTGCATCAGCTAATTCTTCCAAACCCAAATCATTCCATCATTCTCTCATCATGGACATTGCTGGTTTGAGAAAATGAGGCAAAATCCCTCCTAAACCCTGCTGTTTCTGCTCTCTCTCACTTGCATTCCTTTTTGGAAGAGTTGCCTGATACCAAATTGACTAAGAGGAGTGAGATAAGCAGCTGTTTGCTGTTGATAGATGCAATATTGCACACACAGCCACTGTGAGCAATTAAAAGCTTTATTTATTGCTATCTCTGTAGTGTGGTTTAAGAACTCAGAAGGTCAGCTACAGTGGCAACAACGAATAGCACATATTAATTAGATGTAATTAGAAAGATGAATTCCCAGACAAAATATGAGCTGGGATCAGCCTGGCCACCAAGAGGCCACTCAAATATTTGATAAAAGTGAGACTGCATATCTGGTTTGATAAGCTGGACTGTGGGCTTTATCACACATGTGCTCTGGCAGTGAGGAGAGAAAGTATTAATATAAGTGAAGCCTGTAGCAGTCTCTATGGTTACAGCTAACATTTTCTAATATAAGCCATTGTCTGCAGATGCTTAACTTTCCATGTTTCAACTGCTTAGGCTGAAATTTTCCATCACTGCTCATTGTTTCCAGGTGAATTCTCTAGCAATCAGGTTAGCAAATGTACTGGAGAATTCGAGCAGATTCTCATGCTGAAACAGCAATTGGAAATTGGGCAGGGACTCAATCTTATCATCTGTTCCCATCGTCTCCAATTTACCCCATGGCTTGGTGACTTTCAAAGACTCAGCAGATCCTGCTGGAGGTTTTGTGCTGCTGGAATTCCCAGAGGTGGCATCTCCTGGTGGTGCAGGAGTCCCTGCTGGGCACTCCCAGAGCCCCTGCCCTGAGTCCTGCCGAGCTCCAGCAGGGCCCTGACCCTCAGGGCTGCACCCAGGGGCTGAGGAAATTCCAGCCAAGCATTTTTGCATCTGCAGCTCCTCAGCTGAGCATGCTTTAAACATCTGTGCCCACCCTGCTGTAATTGTGGCAGTTCCTGGGCCAGTCCTGTGGCACAAACCCTGTGAGAACCCCCCATGTGAGACCAGGCATCCTGCAGGGCTGTTTCTAACAACAGCCCCCAGCACTAGGCTGTGGCAAGAATTTTAAAACATGGACTGAATTGATTTTCTTTGTGGAAAAGAGGCATCCAAGGCTGTCCAGCTCCCAGCAGCACACAGGCAATCAGGTACCCTGTGCCATCACCTCCCTGCATGTGGATTGTGCTCATCTAAACTGTGGAACAGGTGGGGAAATTAATTCTGTGAGCTGTGCCTGGGCTCAGAGGAGCCAAGAGGTTCTCACACGTCCCCACAGAGGTTCTGTAGCCAAGCTGAACAAGAACAAGCAACAGCTTGTTCTTTCTGCAGTGTCTTTACCACCCTGCCACTCTTCACATCTTCATTCACTGCTTTTTCTGGTTTTTCTCAGTTTGGGCCATGGTTTGCTGAGTTTAAACTCTGGGAATCACAGAATCATTAAGGCTGGAAAAGACCACCAAGATTACCAAGGTCAACCTTTTACCAAATGCCCTCATGCTCCCAAAGCACCTTGGGAAATGCCACCTTTAGATGTTTTCTGAACACTTCCAGGGATGGTGGCTCTGCCACTCCCCTGGCCAGACTGTGCTTAATGACTTTTTCAGTAAATAATCTTTTCCCAATATACAGTGGATGTGATAAACATTAAAAAAAAAAAAAAAAAAAAAAAAAAAATTACAATTGGTGACCTCAAAAACCAACCAACTTTAAAAACAAAATTCCTAATTCCGGTTACTCCTAGATACTCCTGATTTCCTAATTAATTTTTGCCAACTTTAACCTCTTGCAAGTACTCCCCAAGTGCTGACAGTTGCTGCTCTTTGCCCCCAGGTGTGCTGTGGCTCTCAGTGGTGTCCGAGGTGTTGTACATCATGCTGTTGGTCGTCGGGTTCAGCCTCATGTGCCTCGAGCTCTTTCATTCAAGCAGTGTCATAGATGGGCTCAAGTTAAATGCCTTTGCTGCTGTCTTCACTGTGCTTTCAGGTATGAACCTCCCCTTCCCCTTTTTACCACCACAAAGCAAAATTTCACAACTTTGGGAGAATAAAAAACCAGAGGCTCCACGACTCTCTTACCCCGTTTAGCCATCGCAATTTTTCACTGTAATTTTTTGTTTCTTTGGCACAAAGACTGCATGATAAATTCTCCTCTTGCCAGGGAGAAGTGAATATCCTCATTCCTGATTTCACAGCAGCAATGCAGTAATTATCCTTCCCCAGCCTGCACAGCCATTACCACAGCTCCAGCCTCAGCTCCATTTGCAGCATCATCACACTCATTTTCCAGAGGAAAATTAAGAACATGTAAAGCTGAAAAGTCTTTTTTCTCTGTTAATCCTGAAAGTAGGTGAAGGCTGGAAAACCAAAGGAAGGAGCTCATCTTGTTAATTAACAAAATTGAGAATGAAAAGGGTTCTAATAATGGCACTGAGGAGCAGCCCCGGGAGTGGGCTGGGACATGTGCATCTCTCAGAACAGCTCTTTTGGGCTGGTTTAGTGCTCAGTCTGTACTTGGGGCCCCTCACCATATGAACTTGAGGAACTGACTTCTCTAAAATAACTCCAGCCATGTGGTTAAGTGTCCCTTGACTTCTGTGAAGCTTTTTTCTGGCTAAAACCCCCACTTTCCAGGATTTATACAAGCAGTAAGAGTGCCCATGTGAGCACTCCTGCATGGACCTCTCTAGCAGAAAGAATTTCTGCAATAGAAGTGCATTTTATCCTGCTGCATTTCAGGCTGGAAGACATTACAACAGGCAGAGTACATCCTGGGAAGGACCCTGTATCTTCAGGGACAGCTGCAAATGGTGAAATAATAACAGAAAGGAAAGGTCAGAAGTAGAGCTGAGTGACAAAAACATCTGATAAGAACTGCCAAAGCATATTTTTTAGCTTTGGATATAATTTGGAACTTAAAAACAAAAAATAAGTTCCATTTTCAAAATCAAACTATGTGGATTTCTTCAGCATTCAATCAATTACTTCCATGCTGTTCCTCTCTCCCTTCAGCATTAACTGCAGTTTTAAAGTTTTGTAGGAATGATGAAGTTTTCGTTCCTACACAACTTTCTATTTTTATTTTGGCCTTCCCTCTTTCTAAGTACATTGCCAAGATAGTCCAAATATAAACTTCAAAATTTTACAGGGAAAAATGATAGAGGAATTGAAACAAGGATAAAACCCCAAACCCCAGTACACTGCTAGTTGTTATTTTCAATGGCAGGAATATTAGAGGAAAGAAGAAAACTATATTTATTTAAGCTTAGCATATTTATAATGACATAGCTTAATAGAAATTAGGTAATGAAGAGGACTTTCCATTGGAGCATAACACTCCTCATTAAATTCATGCTTGAGTTCCCTCATAAAAGTGCAATGAGATCTCCACATTCTCATAGCTCAACATCTAAAGTTTAGGAAAAAATATCCCAACAGTGTGGTCACTTATTGTTGTTTCTGTGAGCCACTAAAAATACCCCACAAAATCACAATTTTGGCATCCCTCTTAACCTTACACAAACTAAAAAACTTACATATGTTTCTCACATAGTATTTATAATAAAACATTTTCATTAATGTGATATATTCCACAAAGAGCATTTCTAGTAAAAAATATGGGGAAATGCTTTAAAATACACTGTCTTTTCCAAATTTCCTTCATCTCCAGCTTTCCAAACTCCTTAATTTCTCCCTTTACTGACACCTCCAAGCAGCTCTGGTCCAGGATCTCCAGCCAGCTAGGAATGATCAGTGTTTCTGCACTGCCCACCACTCCACATCACCAGGATTCTCCACCTGCAAACCCCTCTTGCCCTGGAGCCTGGATGGGCATGGGCATTGTGCCCTCCCTGCCCAGCCTCAAGCAACCAGCTGGGGGAAAAGATGATCCTGGGCATGGAGCTTTTGTTGGTTTGTGGTACAGGCAGCTCATTTCAGCTCATTAAATGTACAGCAAAAAGGACCAGAGGGTTTCCCCACGGAGAACTTGGCAAGGCACAGCTAAAATAGACCAAACCAAAAGTGAATGAAGCAGCACAACAAAATATTTGCATTATTCTGCTTTAGTTTGGATGTGGCATAACAGCACCAACAGCCCTGCCGGGTGCAGATCCAGCCCCATCCCACCCTGGCATTAGCAAGATAAAACAAAGAACATTTCCAGTGTTTGCTGGTGACCTCCTCCTCACCTGCATCAGTGAGTGTCACCTCAGCCTCCCACACAGCCCCAGGGCTGAGGGTGGCTCAAACCCTGAGCAAGGTTTGCGTGACAGAGCCCAGCAGCTCAGCCCTGCTGAGGCTCGTCCTGCCTGTGTCAAACCTCCTGCTGCCTCTCAGTGACTGTGACAGCTCCCAGGGCAGGCTGTAATATTTTATTAGGGTTGAAAAATTACTGACAGGACGTGTAGAAACAGCAAACTCCAGACTTAAGATCAAGGCACAACTGTCAGCTGAAAAAAAAATCCACTGATTTTAAAAGTTCAGCAAGCTGCAGGTGCATTCTGGAAATTAGATACAAGCAGGAAAAAAGCAAGGTGTGCAGCACTTTGCTGTGCTCCCATTAGGCCACCCACCCTGCCCAAATCTCATTTCTCCTGGAGTGAATTGCTCTTTCCACCTCCTATCTTTGCAGTGTGTCACTCCAACACGAGGCAGCTGAGCAAATCACCCCTGTAAGCTCCCTGTAACACAACTCTTCCCCCAGCCTCTGCACTTGTTTGTATCAAAGCTGACATTTGTCTTCTGAAGGTCCTGCTCAACATGCCCACAACACAAACATTCCCCTGCTTCCCTCCCCCAGAACTGCCCTGAATCATCCACAGGTCTGGGGAGAGTAATGGAGTGGTTTAGGTACTGCCAGTAAGAAGGAAAGAAGAGCCCAAAGTTGGGTGTGGATGGGGGAGGGAAATCAGGATCTTCCATGTATGGGAAAGACAACCATGGAAAAAATTAATGGTCAGAGGGAACAGTGAATGAATGGTCAAAGTGTCAGACACAGACCTCACTGCACCCACCATGGCAGAATATTGGTATTTCTGAGTGCCTTGAGCTGCCACTGCAGCACAAAGAGGCTTTTGCACATCTGTGGGTCCAAGAATTATTTGGGATACAGTGGTCCAGCCCCACCTCCTTAGCCTGAGCCCACACTTTCCCGAGCCCATTGGGGATCATCACCCTGCACTGCCCAGAGGCCATGGCAGGAACATCCCAAATTACTGTAGCTAGAAAATCCTCCAAGCCTCAGAGCTGCTCCTGACCACCACTGCTTGAAAAGTGGGGTTTGGTTTTCCTGAAAGGAATGTTTAAATAAAAGTTCAGGTGGTTTTTTTCTGTTTAAACTGCAGGACCACAGTGGCCAGCTAAAGGCAGAGCCACTCAGGCCACCCTGAGATTTACTGCAGCCTTGTTCTTTAACTTCACAGGGACTGCAAGTCTGATCCTCACCCAGCTGCAGTTCCCTCAGTGAGCTCTAACAGTGTCACAAAAGCATCACCAGCCCTGCCCCACCAAAAGTATCCCAGTGGGGTCCTGTCCCCACACATCATCAGGAGAACCGAGCTCACTTCACTTCCTGGCACAGCTTCCAAGCATTTTATGAGTGTTGAAATTCATCAATCTTAGCAACTGCTGGGACAGAGTTGTGTGGCATGAGCACTCTGAGCCTGCCCTGCCTGCAGGAGCCTCCCTCCTCCTCCTCTCACCTGTCTGTGACGGGCTGGGAGATCTCTGTGGGTGGCACACCCCTGGTTTGCAGCAGCTGGGTTGGTGGGGATGCTCCTTGTGCAACATTTTCTTCAACGATTCTTCAACTCCTCTCTTAATTGAGCATTCAGAATGATGTAAAATAATGAGCTCTCAGTCACATCTTTCCTCTGCCCATGCAGCTCCCTCCTCCACAGTAGAACAGGAGGCATAAACGTACAACAAAGACTTTTTTGGAGCTCTCAAAGCACTTCCAGCAGTAGCTCCCTCAAGAATGACTAAAAAAACACGTTGGCACAAAAATTCCTGTTCTGATCCCTGCTTCCCAGGTCTCTTGGGGATGGTGGCCCACATGATGTACACTCAAGTTTTCCAAGTGACAGTCAGCCTTGGGCCAGAGGACTGGCGACCACACTCCTGGGACTATGGATGGTCCTTCTGGTAAGTGTCACCCCACGTTCATCTCTTCCTCTCTGGAGCTGTTCCATCACCTGTTGGGATGCTGCACACATCACCTCCAACTAACAGGAACATCCCTGTGGATTTCCAGCTGCCAAACCTGCAGGAGCAGGAGCCCCCAGGGCCAGGCAGGTTTGGAGGTGTGGGGACAGTTCTGTGCAGCAGCAGCTGTGCTATCAGCAGGTACAGAGCATTTGTAAATAAACAGCACCCACAATTACCAACACAGATTGAGCACTCTCATTAAAGTTCAATTTAGGAACATAATTGCCATGGCATTTCTGAGACTTTGAGCTTTTTTATTTTTTTTCCACCCCTTGTTTTTAATTAATGTCTCAGTTGAACCTTAGGGTGCAGCTTTGAACACAACTGCAGAGGAAGGTGCAGTGCTCCTGGCACGATGAGACTTCCCTGTGGATCATGGGGAGAAGGCTTGGGAAAATGGACTTGGCTTTTTTTTTTCTTTTTACTTTTCCCATTTATCTTCTAAAATCACATAAAACTAATTTGGCCAAGACACAGCAACTGTGTTATATTGCTTGCACGTTTATAAGAAGCTTACCAAGAGCAGGAGGCTGTGGAGAATAAAAATACCTGCAAACAACATCCCCAATCCTCCAGAGGCATCAGCCTCCTTGGATGGATAGGAAAAATACTTTCTTCTTGTAATTTCTAAATATAGCACATTATTTTCTTTCCATCTCAAAACAAAGACAACAATCTTTACTAACACCAACAAGTGAATACTTCTTATGCACAGCACAGCAGGGAATTATTAGTCTTTCATTCTCACCTCTTTCCACTGTGTTCCATAGGAGGAGTTCTACCATTTTAGCAACATGTTACAAAATACAAATCACATTATATTTAAAATCCAGCTTATTTGGTGTCTCAATAATGAATATTTATTGCATGTGATAATGGAATTATAAATACATTGCATTCACATATTTATAATATTTATATTAATATTTATAACAACTCTGTCACAATAATTGTATAATTTTCAATAGATTTAAATAATAAGGCATATTTGTCTTCAGTAATCTATTTTGCAATTTACTGCAATACTCAGACTTCAAAATGTTGTTAAATGTCTTGCATGATAAGCACTCATTAGATTATTCTCCTTCATCTTGTGCAAGCCAAGAGCCCCCATGGCTCAGAGTGGGCACCAGGGTCCCTCAGGGCATCCCGAGCTCTCCCTGGGCCCACTCATCCCACCCACACTCCCTGCTGGGACCTGTGCCCCACAGAGCTGGTGTTCCATGGCAGATGGGGCTGGGAGCTGTGTTCCATGGGAGATGGGGCTGGGAGTTGGTGTCCCATGGGAGATGGGGCTGGGAGATGGTGTCCCATTGAGATGGGGCTGGTATCCCATAGAGATGGAGCTGGGAGCTGTGTCCCACAGAGATGGAGCTGGTATCCCATGGGAGATGGGGCTGGGAGCTGTGTCCCACAGAGCTGGTGTTCCATGGCAGATGGGGCTGGGAGCTGTGTCCCACAGAGATGGAGCTGCGTCCCATGGGAGATGGGGCTGGGAACCAATGTCCCATGGGAGATGAGGCTGGGCGCTGTATCCCACAGAGATGGAGCTGTGTCCCATGGGAGATGGGGTGGGAGATGGTGTCCCATTGAGATGGGGCTGGTATCCCATAGAGATGGGGATGGGAGCTGTGTCCCCAGAGAAGGAGCTGGTATCCCATGGGAGATGGGGCTGGGAGCTGTATCCCATAGAGATGGAGCTGTGTCCCATGGGAGATGGGGCTGGGAACCAATGTCCCATGGGAGATGAGGCTGGGCGCTGTATCCCATAGAGATGGAGCTGTGTCCCATGGGAGATAGTGTTGGGAGCTGGTATCCCATTGAGATTGGGAGATAGTGTCCCATGGCAGATGAAGCTGGTGTTCCATGGCAGATGGGTTTGGGAGCTGGTATTCCATGGGAGATGAAGCTGGGAGTGGGTGTCCCATAGATATGGAGCTGGTGTCCCATGAGATATGGGTTTAAGGGATGTGTCCCATGGCAGATAGAGCTGGGAGCTGTGTTCCACAGGAGATGGATTTAGGAGCTGGTATTCCATGGGAGATGGGTTTGGGAGTTGTGTCCCATGGGACATGGAGCTGGTGTCCCACGAGAGATGGGTTTGGGAGCTGTGTCCCATGAGAGATGGGTTTAGGAGCTGTGTCCCATGGCAGATGGAGCTGGGAGCTGTATCCCATGGGGGATGAAGTCCAGACCCTGTCCCAGAGCAGCCTCTCCCTCAGCTCTCCCTGGGCAGCCACAGCCAGGGAAGGCACAGTGGGCTTTGGTTCAAGGACCAGGACTGCCCCTGCATTGGGTCTCACTGTGGAGGACTCTGAGATACTCACAAGCAGGGAAATTTGAGGGAGCAACGTCCCCTCTGCCCGAATTCCTGGGCTGAGAGCTCAGCCTCACTCCACACAGCCACCCTGGGAGCTGAGCTCCCTGCAGCCACTGCAGCCACAAAGCTCCTTCTTGCATTCAGCACTCTCCCTCCCTCCCTCCCTGCATCCCTCCCTTCCCTAGTGCTTCCAAGGCAGCCCATTGATCCATGCAGGATGTGGGGCAAGGTGCAAACACCAGCTCAGCTGGGACAGGGCTGAGCAGCAGCAGCATTTCCAGCCTGAGGACAGCCATGGGGTCCTTCCTGCCATGCTAGTGATGGGTAGCAGACCTGGAAAAGGACAGGCTGCAGGTCAAAATAAGCAAAACCAAGGCTTCTGCCTTCCAGCTAACACTGAGGCAGCACTGCTGTACAGACCAGAGAACCTCCCCTGGCACCACCCAGGCTCAAACACCTTCTTTAAGAAGAGTTAATTACAAATGCCCACCCAGCCTGGTGGAAAACCACACATGCAGGAATCATTTTCTGCTCCACCTGGTTTCTGTCCTGGAGTATGAGCTTTGAGAAGCCCTGAGCCATCAGCTGTCACCACCACCCTCATTTCCAGCCTGCTGTGAATGTGCCACTGCAGCCCCCAGCCAGGGAACTGAAACAGCCCTGGGAACACTGCCCCATGGCCCAGAGCCAAAGGGTCTTGGGGATCCACACTGCCATCCCTTTCCCAAGGACCAGTGGGAAAACGAAGTTTTCTGTGGCTCTACTTCCCCTCTGTCAAAAGGGATAAAAACACCCGTCCCCAGAATGAGGAAAGGCTGCTCATGGTCTGCTCAGATGTCTCAGGGTGGTGTCTGTTATCCAAGCCCATTCCCAAGCCATTGGCAAGGTCTGGAAGTTGTTCTGGGCTCTGGCACGAGTCAGGAGTGGGCCAGGGGATTCTCCAGGCTGGGGATTTCAGTGTCCCTGAGGATCAGGAGATGTTGGAGTTCAGGCTCTCTAAAGCAAATAAACATAACAAGCCTGAGCTGTTTGAGCCATGGGGGAGCCTGAGAGTCCAGCCCTGAGCTCAGCTGCAGGAGGGTCTATGGGTACAGCCCCAGCACATCTGGGGCACAGCTGGCATGGGGTAGTAACAGCATTGCTGTTAAAGAGGCCTTCACCTAAGGCAAGTGTAACTCCTAGGGTAGGACAACCACTCTTTACAATTCAAAATAAATAGCATTTAACCAAGGTCCATAAAAACTAAAGTACATCTATCCTAATTGCCTAATCACTACAATTTCCCAAATGCCAGGCACTGAGAGTCTTTAGTCTGTATTTCCTTCTCTGAACCTTTCAGTACTTCTGATTTCATCAGAAACCATCAGAAAGATCCAAGAGTAATTCTCCCTCAAATGCCATTCCCCAGGCACCTCCCAGGCACAGTGAGCTTTTGGGTGGCTTCTTCCTGGACACTGTTCAGGAGCCCAGCTTTGTTTGCAGCTGCTGGAGCTCTTCCCCACACTCCAGGTGGGAGGCAGACCCAGGCAGGCCAGGAAGATGCTGAGTGTGCCCCTCACACCCAGCACCAGCTCCATTCCTGCTTCTCCCCCTGCCAAGGGGAACTTCAGGGAACTTTGTCACCCCAGGGTCACCACATTTCCTTCTCATTTGATTGCATCTGGCTAACAGGTTCAAAATTGACAGGGAAAGAGCAGCCTCCACACATCTCCTTGCCTCAGGAGTCCCTGCAGGACTTGTTATAAGCTGAATTTTGAAATCATTGAAATGAGCCATTTCTGTTTACTTGAGCCATTTTTCCCCCAGATTTTTCAGTCCATGAATATGTGCTCTTTTTCAAGTTTTGTCTAATTTGAAATGAGAAACTGCTTCCTTGTCTGCAGGTCCTTTGCAGAATGGGAAAATAGCTCATGCTGAGAGCTGTGTTGACAATGCGTATTTATAAGATAATGCTACTGGGGCTGGATACTTTCTGCTCTGCATAATTCACATCCATTTGTTACAGAAAAAGTGCAAAAAAGGAGCAGGTAAAGTGTGTCACCATCACAGGTGATGGAGTTAATTCAGCTGACTTAGGCAGCCCCTGTGAGCTCTGTGTAGCCAGAGCTGATGGGCTGAGTGTGAAGCCAAGGGGAGCTGGAGGGCAGAGGAGCTCTGCAGACAAAAGAGGCAATTCAGGGCCTGTTTTTGCAGCCTCATTTCATGCTCAAAAAGTATCTCAACTCCTTGGGGCCATGAGTCCCTTGCCACCCCCATCTGAACTTGAGGTCAGGGAGAACAAGAGCAGCTGGGGGGAAGCCCTGTCCACAAGCAGGGACCAGAGCAGCTCCCAGCTGACCCTGCTTGCCAGCACACCCAGGACAGCCCTTGCTGCTGTTCCAGCTTGAACCTGGGCCAGTCTCTTATTTTCTTCCACTTCCCTTCTCCCTCTGCCTCCCTGTGCTCCTGGTTGGTACTTGCAGGTGTGCTGGCCCTGGCTGGCCAAGGTTGGCACTGCCTTCACTCTGGAGGACTCAGCCAGGAAACCCCCAGGCTGGTGAGTCCACAAAATGGAAGTGTTGTCTTCTGCTCTGGTCAGGCTTTCAGAGACCAGACACAAAGCAGGAAGGCCAGAGGTGTCCATGAACCAGGAAAGAAGGAAACACAGTAATCTGAGGAAGGCAGGAAAAGCAGATTAGAACCCATCCCTGCAGTGGCATTGTGCAGCCAGTGTCCCAGGGATGGGAAAACTGCTCCAAAAGACTCTGACATTGCTCCCTCCAGGAGTGTGTGGGGGTTTTAACACTTTTCTGCCAGGCTCTGAGGCATTTCAGAGGAGATCAGGAGGCATCTGGCCATGGTGTCACCAAGTGCTCACCTTAGCACACGGTTCTCCATGGCATGAAGGCTGAGCCCAGCCCCCAGCCCATGCTCCTGCCTGCCTGAGCATGAGCCACAGGTCTCTGGAGGAAAGATGAGCTCAGATGAGAGGGGTTTGCTGGAGGAAAGATGAGCTCAGATGAGAGGGGTTTGCTGGAGGTAAGATGAGCTTAGATGGGTTTGTCACCTCCAGCTTCCCTGCTGCTCCCAGCCTGTGTGTGTGTGTCAGAAATGTGGCATGAGCTGCTGTGTAACCCAGCTCTGTCTGCTGGTTTCTCTCTCCACAGTCTGGCCTGGGGCTCCTTCACCTGCTGCATGGCAGCCTCTGTCACCACCCTCAACTCCTACACCAAGACTGTCATTGAGTTCAGGCACAAGCGCAAAATCTTTGAGCAGGGCTTTCGAGAAGAGCAGAACTTCCTAGACCAGGAAGCCATCAAGTACTTCAGAGAAAGGTCAGTGCAGTCAGTCACTCCATCAGGGGAGGTTTCCATGGACTCTGCTGGTTTCAGGCTCTCACCCACTTCAGCATTCGTGGGTGAAGTCTCTGAGGCACCTGGAAAAGGTGTGTGTGAAAGGCAAACACAAAAGGTCCTCCTTGCTTTGGTTTTTGATCAATTTTGTGTTGCCCCAGTGCCCACCCTTTCTCCTGTACTCATTGAAACCTTTACAGTATGCACCCAATTCACAAAAAGCTGTGCTGCCAATGTCAGCTGATTTTCCCTCTCTAGAAAGGTAAAACTGTGGGGGTGTGCCAAATGTGACATCCATCCTCCCTCAGCACGTGCAATAGGCACCTCCCAATAATCCCAACAGCTGCTGAGGCATTTTCCAGCCACCACCAGGCCACTTTGGAGCTGCCATCTCCCACATGTGATCCCATGCCCACAACCCATCCCTGGCTGCTTTGCACGACCCATCCTCTGGAGCAAATGCACACAAACCCAGCAAAACACCCACCCAGTGCCACCCACATGGTGCCACCAGGGTCTGAGGGGACTGCAGTCCTGGTGGGTCCCAAGGCCCAGAGATGCTCTGTCACTTTGCTCCCCTGCCCTCATTATTTGGAGAGAAAGTTCAGACTTTGTTTAAAGCTGTGGATTGTGAAGAACACACAGATCCTGAGCTCACACAGCAGGGATGGGCTCCACAAGGGGATGGATCCTGACAGGATGAAGAGCTGAGAAGTACAGAAAATCCTCACCAAAATCTATGGCCTGAAGTGATATGAAGATATTTTGGGGGCAGGAAATATAAGCAGGATGCATGGCTGTTTGTCAGACCAGTGGGGCAGTTTCTCCATGTTGGAGAAGCTCTGAGGGGACAGAAGGTTTGGAATTTCAGCATTTCAGCAGCAGAGTGAGGAGCTCTCCTGAGAGGGCAGAACTAGAGAGCTTCCATGATTATTGCTTTTCCTTGGTTATCTCATTCATTATTCTGTTGTTGCAGTTATCCCTGTGCTAACATCCAGGTTTTCTCCCTGCATTTCAGACAGTCTGGAAGGAAAAGAGAAATGAGGCAAACCACCATGATTTTCCTAATTTTGCATTTGGACATGACAGTGAATTCTAAAAAATTCTCTGTGGGAGCAAAGAAAGCCCAGACACAGTGAAGAGGAAGGGGTCAGTGTGTGCCTCAGGGTAAATCAGCACTCAGGGAGGGAAACCAGATGAATTTTTGAAGTGAGAATTGCAGATTGGAGCTCAGGAGAACTATAAGGAGCAGTATGTTGAGTTAGACTGGAAAATGCCAAGGAGACTTGTTGAAGTAGCACTAGTGGAGCAGTAAATAGCAGAATATATTAATGGCCCAGAGGACAGGGACCCCTCTCTCTCTCTCTCTCACATGGGCATTGTGGGTTTGGTTTGGGCTCCTCCTGCCCTCACAAGATGACACAATCCCACCCCCAACAATTCCCTCCTCGGTCACCTCCTCCCAGCCCTTCCACACACACTTGGCACACTCAGCTCCAGCATGTGGTGTTCCCTAACTTCATGATTATCACTTGCTTTTTTTATATCACATTATTTTAATTGTTGTATCTGAATACATAATAGGAAGCCCAGAGACAGTGTTACCATGGGATCATTCTAGAGATTCAAAGCTGTGCAGCAATATACAAATTTTTTTTAATTTTTAAAGTGATCATATTCATGCTCAGCTCCACTGCTGTGCCCTGGGGATGCTCTGACTGCAGGGGTCCAGGGCTGTCCATTAACAACACCCTGTTGCTGCACACTGTGGGTGCCCTCAGTCCCACACAACTTCCCTGAGCTCCCATCTGCCTTTGCACAAATAGAAAATAAAATAAATCCTCTTTCCTTCCTGTGCACATACCCAGGGATACTTCACATTCCCTCCTACTCCTCCACCTCCATGTTCCTTTTCATACCTCATGAATAAAACCCTCCAGCCTTTCTTCCTTCCAGTTACTTTGCACATCTCTTCACCCTTTTTGCCTTTTCCTTTGCCTCAGTGCAGAGCCAGCACCCCCTGGAGCACATATCCAACCTCTGGGCTGGGCACACCCTGTGCAACAGGCACTTTCCTGTATGCCTCTGAAAATTAAACTTTATTATTATTCCAACAGCTCCATTTAGCACCTGGGACTCAGGGAAGGAAAGTGTCAGCCCCATTTTGCATGATAAAATTTTTTTGTGGGAATATTATCCTACAAGCCTCTGCTCCCAGGGAAAAAATTTGCTTTATGAAAAATACTGACAGTAAAATGCTGCTAATCTTGCACGTGTTTTCTCAACTCTCTCATTGCATTGTGCTTCATTTTAATTGCATGCAACTGCATAGAACAGCAGAAGATCTGCTGGAAATATTGATGTAAGAGCTGCAATGGCCCCTTGGGAGCTCCCAGCTGTGCTGCTGTCCCTGGAGGTGCAGGGGATGAGCCCCATCACCCCTGGTTTGCTGCCTGATCCCCCTCCAGCAGCTCCATCCTTTGCCTCACCCTCTGTGGCCCTGCTGCTCTTCAACCTCAGCCTGCCCATCCCTCTGCCCTGAGAAGGTGGGGAAGGCCTTTAACACCCCAGGAATGTCTGTGTGCACCCCAAATGCTGCTCCACAGCCTGCCCTGAGCCCACCTCAGGAGCTGCCCAGCCTCAGCCAGGAGCACATCCAAATCCTCTGTACCCTGAGCACTTCACTGCTCCTACACTGGGAAAACACTGAAGCAGCTGCTGAAAAATCAAAGATTCATGGTGTTACATCCACTTATGTCCCACCCAGCTTGTGATACTTTGAGAAGTCCAGACAAAACAGACTCTGTGGTTCACACTATAAAATTGAAAGACACCAGAGCTCTTCAGATATAACAGGTACAATAGCCCTCAGGGTAACTCTGAGAAAACCAGGTCAATTATACAGAATTGGAGGTGTTATTCATGCTCTAAGTGTTCTAGAAAATTATCAGAATTAACTGCAAAGTCAGCTTTCAGTCTTTGTCCTTCAAGTGTTTTTCCTTCCTTTTTTCATGTTTTCCTTTGAAATCAATGTCTGTCTATAACTTTTGCTCATCTTTTTCATTTTTTTAGTTCATAACAAGTATCTCTCTTCCATCCCTCTCAGTTTCTCCTCCTGCTCTGTTTCACATGGTGACTCTTGCCCCCTGTGGTCATGAGCACAGTCCCTCACCTGAGGTTTACCCCAGCCAGCAGAGCCCTCACTGCCCTCCTGCTTCCTCCCTTCCTGCTCTGAGGATCCCTTTAGGAATTAGCTCTTATATGTTACCTGTTTATCTGTAATAAAATATTGTTTGCTGGGTTAATTTGCAAGAAGAAAAAATTAGTGATATGGAGCTTCATTCTTGCAGGTATCTAGGCATTTTACTAGATGTCACTTTAAAATGCAACCTGGCCTTTGCTGCTGGCAGTGTTGTCCTGGCAGAAAAAGGGCATTTTACAGGTAACCATTGGGAAAAATCCAACTCTGTATCTTTCACATAACCAACATGAAATGATTGATACAGAAGCAAGAAACTGTGGTTTATCTTAAATATGTGCATTTTTTTCAATTAGTCCTTTTCAATTAATTAATCAATAATTAATTTCTGTTCTTACAGACTGTGCTTTATGGAATATTAAGCCAAAGATAAGCCAAAGGGACAGGGATTCTTTGTTCTGTCCCATAAAGTCTGGTAATCTCTGTGGCAGCAGCTGCAGGGATGGTGACAGACCTTCTCCTCTTCCCCTGCCCAGCTGTTTAGGAGCTGCTGCTTGAGCAGCTTTAGCTCTCCCCTGCTGTTTTGGCAGCTTTTTCCCTATGGCTGTGTAATAATTAAGATGCATTCACAAGAATTCTGCTTGTTCAGACCAAGCAGCTCCACCAGCACCATCCCCACATCCACCCAGGCAGGGCGAGCACAGCCAGCTCACCCAGACTCAATCCTTTCCCAAGTTTCTCCTCAGTTTCTTGCCTTCATTTTTTTAAATATATTTTAAAAAACCTTTCAGGCACCGTCCCCACCACACCTTTCCCTTCTCCCAGGACTCTGGTGGATCTTGCTCTCAGGTAAAGGATGACAACTTTCCTCTGTGCTCCTTGCCTCTTCTGGGGGCAGCTGCTGGAAGGGCAGAGGGAGCCCTGGGCACGGGGCACAGCTGCAGGGACAGGGACAGGAGCAGCTCCAGGGAGGACAAGGGAATGTCCAGGGTGGAGGTGTGTGAGGACCAAAGCCTGAGGTGAAGGATATGGGGCCTGAAAGGGTGGAAATCCAGTCCAAGTGAGATCCTCGGCAGAGCTCATCACTGCCTCAGGCAAGGAATGAAACATTTCTGGTGTGAGGGAACTGGAATTGCCCATGGCCTCTTTAGTGAGGACAAGAGCAGCTTTTGGATGTGCATCCAGGCTGGTCAGGGCTGCAGAGCCCCACTGCAGAGAGGGCTCAGGGGCTTTCCCAGCCTGGGAGCCAGACAGAGATCACAGAGCCCTGCTTCAGTCTGGGATCCAGCCTTGTGCTCCCTGTGAAGCCAATCCCACTTACCAGGGGCTGTTAAACCAACACATTTAGCAAGAAAATCTGGAAGATTCAGCCTCCCCCAGCTCACCCATCCCTAGCACAGCGTTTGCAGCTGTCCATCAACACCCATTGTGCCACTGCAGCTGATCTCACAACATTTCACAACATTTTTCTTGCTGACTGGGCCCTTACTCAGATCTGCAACACCAACCTAAGCAGGCAGATGCTACTGGTGAAATTCTGGAGTGAACTGAGTTCAAACTGCCATTGATAGCAGTGCAGACAAAATGTCTCTGCAGGGACAGAAAATGTAGTTTTAAGTGCTAGGAGCAGTTTGAAACAGACAGCAGGACCAAAGCTATTGCAGAGCTAATAAATCAGGACTATTCCCAACACTGTGAGAACCAGAACTTTTCGAATCATCATTCACATGCCATTTTTTTCCCTTTTTGCACATTTCTGTAATGTACCATACTCACAGCTTGC